TAGCCGCAAGACGAGCCCTAGCGCAGGTTTGGCTACAGAGGAACACTCCTACGATAGCAATAATAAAACCTAAAATAAAGGATACCTTTTTAATGGACAAATTGATAGCTCAGGTCAGAGGGACTACGAAGAAATTTGAAAAGATCTGGGACCCTTGGATTAATAGTACAGTAAGTAACTAAAACAGTAGACTGGATCAAGCATATCTACCATAAAACAGTATCACTCAGGGCATACAAGATAAGTCAAGGACCGCTTCTCCCAAACCCATCTCTCTTTGGGAGAAACTTGGGAGATATACAGGATAGATGAAGTCAGTAAGGAAATGCAATCCTTGTGACACTTTTCATTGGGTGACTCCCCCTGGATTCCCGTTCCCCCTCCCTCCCTTTTTCCTAATTTCTCCCATATTCACACCTACCTGTATCTTTCTTCTTCCTCAGACCCTCGAGGATGCTTTTTCTAGTTCCGATCTTGGAACCATCCTTCCTGTTCTTTACAATTATAAGATTATACACACCGGGACTATCAGGGGTATACAGTTCAGCTAGAGAAGCAAACACGATTATGCATAGTGCCCCTGACTGTTCTTAGTGCAAGTTACAGCACGATAATTATATATTTTATTTTAACATGAAAACACCAAACGGGATGTCTTGAGATGCTTAAAGGAATTAACCACACCTCGGCAAATGCAAGCAAAACCGCAATGCATGATTACGAACCCTGTAATATGTAAAAATGTAAATGTGTAGTCTTGCGGATACTGTTGTACACCGAAAACGGATACATATCTGCTTATTTTGAAAATGTATTACCATGGTTATGTGTGCTATGTGTAAGTTGTCCTGCTTTGGAACAAATAAAGAATAAAAAAAAAAAAGAAATTGCACATTTTGGCCTGAAATATAAAACTGTAAATGTCCTCTAACTCACTTTCTCCATTTAAGCTACTGTGGCATGTAATTTTTTTTGTCAATTCTCTACAATTTCTGATTTAATGAATAATGCTTTTAGTTCAAAAAAGCCCCTGTTTTTCTTTTTACTCCAGCTCTGAGATTTTTACATTATTTTGTGCACGTCACTTGTCACTTTTCATTTCGTGCGCGTTACTTAACACATTAGAACAAGCTGGATTTAAAGGAACACTGCAAGCATAATCACTATAGCCAATAATGTCACGGTGCCCTCCTAGAGTAAGTGGTTAAACTGTAGGATTTAGCTGACACACATTGTCACCTCCTATTGAAGCCAAAAGGTCCTGCAAGGAGATTCCGTTATCTTCACTGAGCTAAGCAGTGCAGGGTAGGGCCAGGTCATTGGCTGAGTGCTTCATCTAAGTGCTCTCAGCCAATGAGCACCTTCCTGCACCACTGGGCCTAGCTCATGACAGAACCTCCAGTTGCAGACCGGATGGCCGCAGAATCACAACAGACACCATTTAGGTTGTCAAAGATACTTAAATGGTTTGACTACTTTGGGAGGATAGAAGTACACTCCTGGCACCTTATGGTGGTTTGTGTGTTTGTATGTATGTATGTGTGTGTTTGTATGTATGTCTGTGTGTGTGTGTGTGCATGTATGTATGTCTGTGTATCAGTATGTATGTCTGTGTGTCTGTATGTGTATGTCTGTTTTATTATATGTGTGTGTGTGTCAGTATGTATGTCGGTATGTGTGTGTATGTCTTTTTCAGTATGTGTGTGTCAGTATGTGTGCCAGTAAGTATGTCATTGTGTCCAGGGCCGTCTTTAACGCGGGGAAAACGGGGCAGCTGCCCCGGGCCCAGTTTCTCTTGGGGGGCCCGAGGCACCTGCCCCGTGGGCCCCGCTGAAGCGGGCGGGTGGCCGGTGGTCACTGCTTCCTCTTCAGCTCCCTCGCGCACCGCACTGATGCCGGAGCCGGAAGATGACGTCATCTTCCGGCGCCGGCATCCCTACGCGGCGCGCGAGGGAGCTGAAGAGGAAGCAGTGAGTGCTCTCTCGCGCGCCCGCCTTCCTGCCCGACCGGCCACCCGCCCGCCGGGGTCAGCAGCACCAGTGGACCCCAGGGAATCCCCCCAGCACTCCAAAAGGTAAGGAGGCTGGGGGGATTACATTTAAAAAAAAAAAAAATGTGTGTTTGTGTGTATGTGTGTGTTAGTTTGTGTGTGTTTGTTTGTGTGTGTATGTGTGTTAGTGTTTGTGTGTTAGTGTATGTGTGTGTTAGTGTATGTATGTGTGTGTTAGTGTATGTATATGTGTGTTTGTGTGTGTGTTTGTGTGTTTGTGTGTGTTAGTGTTTTTGTGTTAGTGTATGTGTTAGTGTGTGTATGTGTGTTAGTGTGTGTGTATGTGTGTTAGTGTGTGTGTTTGTGTGTTAGTGTATGTGTGTGTTAGTGTATGTGTGTGTTAGTGTATCTGTGTGTTAGTGTATGTGTGTGTGTGTGTCAGTATGTCTGTCTGTGTGTCAGTATATATGTGTGTATATCTGTGTGTGTCAGTATGTGTATGTGTCAGTATGTCTGTCAGTGCGTCAGTATGTCTGTTAGTGCATGTGTATGCATGTGTCAGTATATCTGTCTGTGTGCCAGTATGTCTCTGTGTGTGTGTGTGTCAGTATATCAGTCTGTGTGTCAGTGTATGTGCCTGTGTGTGTGTGTCAGTATTTCTCAGTGTATGTGGGTGTCAGTATATCTGTCAGTGTGTGGGTGTCAGTATATTGTGTGTCAGTATATCTGTCAGTGTGTGGGTGTCAGTATTTCTGTCAGTGTATATGTGTCAGTATGTTGATCAGTGTATGTGTGTGTGTCAGTATGTCGGTATATGTGTCTGTGTGTCAGTATGTCTGTATATGTGCCTGTGTCAGTATGTCTGTCAGTACGTCTACCAGTGTATGTGTCTTTGTGTGTGTCAATATATGTACCTGTGTCAGTGTGTCTGTCAGTATATGTGCCTGTTTATCTGTATGTAGTCAGTGTATGTATCTGTGTATCTGCTTGTGCGTCAGAGTGTGTACCTGTGCATCTGAGCCGCAACTTTAAATACAAATACACCCCTCCATTCAAACTTCAACACTACATATAAAACACACTCCTGCATTGAAACGTCAACACTACATACAAGCACACTCCTACATTCAAAAACAAACACTACACATAAATGCACACTTGCATTCAAACTCCAGTACCACATACAAACACATTCACACAAACATACTCCATACAAACACATGCTTACATTCAAACATACTAACATGGCTCAGTGCTAAATACAACCCTGCAAGCATGGGAAATTGGTAGAGTCCCAGCTGTCAAAGCATTGTTGGAGTTGCACGACAGATGGGGTTCTACCTTTAGTCCAACCTTGCAATTGGGGGTCCCAATAAAATTCATTCTACTTTAGTACCGCCACTGCGTTGGGATGGATGCCGTGATTGCATACCAGGGAGTGAGGGGCGAGAGCGGCAGGGCACAGGGGGCCCAAGCAAACACTTGCCCAGGATCCATTCGTTATTAAAGACGGCCCTGATTGTGTCAGTATGTCAGTATGTGTGTGTCTGTGTGTCAGTATGTGTGTTTTTGTATATCAGTGTGTAAGTGTCAGGAATGTCTGTGTGCCAGTTTGTGTGTCTCTGTGTATCAGTGTGTATCTGTGTGTCAGTGTGTGTTTATGTGTTTAAATACCAACATCTGTGTTTAAATACCACATTCCCACACATACTCCATACAGAAACATGCTTACATTCAAACACAACAGGTAGGATTTTGTCACAGATCTTCCACAGCCTTCTAGGGTAATCAAAGTCCAAGACACATCCAGCTCAGTCTTCCAGATTTATTTGGTGAAAAATAAACAGGTGTTTCAAATAAAAATAAAAAATAAAAATTCATTGCTCTTGTTTGAGCACTTACAGCAATCACTATCTGTAATTAGGTGGCTTTCCCACTTACCAATTTACAATAACAAAATATACTTGCAATAAACACCATTCATCTGTCCTTCAGCCTTCCTAGTTGGCTTCTTCTCCCTCACTCTGCAGCAGGCTATTTCCTTCTTTTAACTCCTTAAGGACCAAACTTCTGGAATAAAAGGGAATCATGACATGTCACACATGTCATGTGTCCTTAAGGGGTTAAAAGCCTGCCTGCTAATTGACCAGCCACAATTATGTGGAACTCTTAAGTTAAAGTAACACTATAGGGTCAGAAACACAAACATGTATTCCTGACCCTATAGTGTTTAACCCACCATTTAGGTGGCTTGCTCCCCCACCCCCCTTAGCCCACTTAAAAGTTAATAAAACTCACCTTTTTTCAGCGCCGCACGGGTCTTGTTTCAGCGCCGCCCTTGGTGACATCTTCAGAATTGCCGGTTTTTAGCCAATCCAATGCTTTGGGGAAAGCATTGGATTTGATAAAATCTGCAAGGGGATGGGGCCAAATGCTGTTTTGGCCAATCAGCACCTCCTCATAGAGATGCATTGAATCAATACATCTTTATGAGGAAAATTCAGCGTCCCCATGCAGAGTCTGGAGACGCTGAACACCACTGCTGCCTACTGTGCAGCACTGAGCCAGGAAGCACCTCCAGTGGCCATCTGAGGAGTGGCCACTGGGAGGTGGCCATTTCTCTTAAAAGGCAGTGTTTGCATAAAAAATGCCTGAAGGCAATGATTATACTCACCAGAACAACTACATTAAGCTATAGTTGTTCTGGTGACTATAGTGTCCCTTTAAATCCAAGTTCTAGTCTGGTTGGTACATAGCAATTAATGCTATTGGAGCACTGGCCCACCTTGCTCTCCAAATCCTCCACCCCAGGGACCCTTACCGTGGTTTGCAGAGTACCAGCAGTGTATCTTGCCAACTTAACATCTTTCAGACTTTAGAGCTCTGTTAGGGGCCCCACAATTTCTGATGGTGGTCCTGATAGGGGTGATAACTCTTCACTGAGAAACACAACAAAAAATATAATAGCAAAAAGTATTTATTCATGGATTGCGTCCTTCAATACACTTCTGGCAAGAGTAGTCCAAGGGCACCTGTGACACCAAACATTATGTGAATGGGGACATTCGGACAGTTTGGGAACATTCTGAAACCATAAACCTGTTACATAACAAAGCTGAAAAGCATTTTGATGTAAAATAAAATGTTTTGTTTATTTAATCTCTATTGTATTTATAGCACTTTTTCCCTAGATTCAATATTATTTATGGCACCTATCAAGGTTTTTAATTTATTTTCATATGTTCTTCAAAGGTTCCTTAACAAAACGCTCAAAGTCCTTTGTGACCTGTATTGCTGAAATGGAAATCCTGCAAATGCGATGCTTATTTTACGCAAGCCGGCTTTAGAAGTGATTTTATATTAGGTGTCAATGACGTTTAACAGGTGTGTTTTTCAATTATTGCAATGCTTTCTGTAACCTTCTGTGCTGCTTCAGTATGCTATGAATGTTACTGGCACTTCCGTGATTTTTATTAAACAGGCTACACAACAACTGGTCCGGGCTTTTGGTAATCTGATGTAGGAAAGTACACTCCACTCTAAACTCAAGTTTTTTCTCTAGCTTATCCGGGAAACACAAATATTAAAGATAAGTACTTATTGTATACTTACTAGAAAATCTACCATCGTGTAGGTCTTGTATTTAATCACTTCCTAGACATTTAATTTAATGAGTTGGATACATATAACACATCTAATTCTGCTTATATGATTGAAATGTGGGTACACACTAAAATCAAGGTTGCTAAAAGGTGGCACTGTATTATTGAGTCTTATAGGCTCTTGTATAGTGTGTAACAGTGTATAGTGTGTAATGATGATCATCATTAAGGGGAGATCATCGTTAACAGTACCTTTGTGCGATACAAACAATTGAGACCACTTTAAAACTGTATACATAGGAGTTGAGGAGATGAGTATTTTAATCGTCTTAATGTGGATAATGTGTTTTATACACTGTGGAAAGTGAGCGCAATTGCCAGTCAGTACCACTAGAGCTAGCATTCTTTTATCTGTCTATGTATTAGGAGTTGACAAACTAGTGTACACAAACCAAAAATAATTACTCACTTGTGAATTTTCCACAGTTTCTAAATTAGTGAATAATGCCCTGAGCTTTTGTATAAGCAAGGCAGAATATAACTGTTCTTATTGCATGCAGCAAAAAACATACAGCAATCTACATTAAAGTTTAGTATGCCTGAAATAAGAAGGAAGAAAAAATAAAGCAACGATCTAGAAATGGGCTGGACAAAAGGTAGCTCTCCAGATGTTTTAGAGCTATATGTGTCTTGATTCTTTGTCATCCTTTAGAATGTCACAGCATCATGGACACTGCAGTTCTACATCATCGGTGGATCTATAATTTGCCCACCCCTGATCTAGAAGCTTTCCGCCTCATTCAATGCCCTAACCGTTACAAACTCTGAACCGTATTAACACCCAACCAACATAAATCTCCTCTTTGACACTTGCTATTCCTGTGCAACCAACTCGTCTTGTTGCAACTACTTGTCTGTTAGTCCACCTACCAAACAGTGTTGCGAAATTTCTTGGTGCTTTATAAATAATAATACAATTTTTTTTTAATACTTTTTCTAGGAAGATTGTAAATTAATACCCATTAATAATAATATTGTAATTCAATGACACACACATATATATAGTAAGATATATTCTGGAAGCTAGAACATCCCAAATATGGTCGTTAAGCTATTGTTCGTTGCCAAGTATTGCTTGGCATTCACAGCAGTAAATGGCTTTTAACATTGTTGCTGTCAGTGCGAATATACATATTTCAGATGAGTAAAATATATAGAACTCTCCACGTCCAACCTTGTTATTCCTCTTAACGGGAATAAGCTCAACTACAAATCCTATAATGTCATATTTATATCTAGCTGTTTATGAGTCTGTACATTAGCAGAAAATCAGCTTTATATTTCACCCTAAATTGTAAACTAAGCCAGCTCTTTTCTTATACAAGTGTTTGTGATTTTCAAAACATTCCCCACAGATTTACATCTAGAGAATATAAATTAATTAATGACTGCATACCTCACAACCTTCTCAGTGTCCAAATGCCAAATGTATTATTTATATTTTCTATAGGTTTATGACCTAAGAAATACCGCTGAGAAGATTTTTAGAAATGGAAGAAGTTATAAAAAAAAGTCAGTCATCCTTTTTTTTTTTAGTAAATTAAATTAGAGCTCTTCCTCTTAGTGGCTTGTACATTCAGAGCTTATATGTAGTTGAGGAAATGGGGAATCATCTAATTCAGGGTCATCCAAAAAGTAGATATTCAGCTGTTGAAGAACGATTACCCCTATAACAATTGTCCATTATTAAAAGCTTGCAATGTATAACAGGAAATGTGGTATAACAGGTGGGGATCTTCCTTTTGGCTAGCAAAGTCCATGCATATATTAAATATTCTCCTAGTAGCATTTTGTACCTTTTCACTGAAAAGGTAATTTCTTATCAAATCACCAACTTATTCTGAAATGATTTGTCATGAGTTTACAGTATGATTTTTAATAAAGAAAACGTGAAGATACTTTTCCTTGTTGCTAAACAAGAAAACCTCAAGGAATAAGCTCATAGTCACCTGGAGATCTTTATACTGTGCAAACACATATTTAAACGTATATTTAACGCTTACACCTATTGTTGAGGAAAATCAACAATGCTTGTAAATTCCATTCGATTTCATGAAACGTTACAAAACATTGTGTTGGTAATGGGTTACTAAGTTACACCATAAATATACAACACACATTGACATTCAACTTCAATTACAGGTATTGACCACATTCAACAATAGCCAACTTTAACAATAAAACCATTCAATAACAATTCAGAGAAACACTGTTTGCTCAGATCACATATTCTGTGGCATATTTGTTTGCCTGATCAAATGTCAATTTAAAAATATTCAATCATCCCTAAAAAACCTCATCAATAGAATCATGGAAATCAGCATATATTTCAGAATATGAATATTATACATATAAAAACATCCAAAAGTAAACTATGTTAACTGTTTCAGTAAGAGTCCTTCGCATTCCTTTAAACCAGCAAGGTGTTCGCGAAACAGTAGTGGTAAGCTATAGCCTTGCCTATGCTACAGAAAACACTACATGTGTGTTTTTTTGTGATATCATTACCTTTCTTCGATAGCTCTTCGCAATCGCTCAATATCCTTTCTGTTACATCCTTCTCTTCTCCATCATTCAGTTTTCTTGGTCAATCTTGGTCTATATGCTGTATCTTGCTCTCTGGCTGTTTGTACCAGGTGATGAAAAGCCAGTCATTCTCTGTCAAACTGCTTGGACTGAATCTGGCAATAAATGTATCTTTTAGCAAAATTTTCACTCTTCAAACTTGTTGGTAAGGGAGTCTGTTAAATCATCCTACAGTTTCCGAAGCAGAGTACGTGCAGGGCCTGGAACAGAGTAAATACTTTAGCAAAGGACTGCTAATCTACACGGTGGTTTCCATTTCAGTTCATTAGTGGTGTTATAGACACATAAAGATGGCACCATCTTTATCTTCCTGTGAGAATGCCAGTCCTGATACTCAACAATCTCCACAAAGCAGGGATAAATAGTGGAACCTTAATTTGCTCACTGAATTGTCACTCACAAGGGTTATGCAGACAAACGAAAGCACACTTATACTGTATATACTGAGTAGCTAAGCCTGTGGGTATTGCACTGTCGCAGTGTCTAACTTTATATTCAAAGTGGACTTCATTGACTAACTTTATATTCAAAATGGAGTCCAGTGACTAACTCTTTATTCAAAATGGAGGCCAGTGCCTAACTTTATGTTCAAAATGGAGGCCAGTGCACACGTCCCAGCTGTAGGATTATTACTTGAATCATAACGTTGCGAAAAATGGGAAGTCTGGTCTGGATAAGGGCAAAGCTGACAAAATAACGCGATTGAAAAATGGTGGGTCAAGTGCCCAAAACCAGCACAGTCCCACTGTATCCTGGACTATCACACATATGAGTATAGTAAGATAGCCTTTTTTACTAAGTGGAAAATGTTAACTTGCGTGATGGGCTTGCAAAATCACATGCAGGTTATAGATGAAAGGAACACAATAGTGTTGGACTACCTATTTATGTGTTCGTCCTTCCAGAATGGAGTAAAATGGCATTTTACTTATATTTTCTCCATCGCTGCACTGCATTCGCAGTGGCTGACCCCGCTTCCGTGGCTGAGATCATCAATCTTGGTTACCCATAGGAGAGCATTAAGAGGCTATTGCACATGTAGTGCAAAACTCTGCCCTAGCCAATCAACATCTCTTCACAGAGAACACATCTCTATGGGAACGTTCAATGAAGAAAAACAAATTTTTGGAGTTTGAGAAATAAACTGTAGGTGGACTTTACATATATGAAAATGGGAGATGTGAAGTTATATATAGGGTGGTTCAGTGGAAACTAAATTGAGTATTAACTGTGAGTTTGGAAAAAAAAAGAGGAGAGCTCATTTACATTGGGGGCTATCTTTGAGGGTTATAAAAGGAGAGACAAAGTTTGCTCTGTTTAAATATAGTTTAAAGTGATCACTTGGGTGAAGCAATTAATAGAAGGAATGAGGGAGGAAGGTACTGATGGAATGATGGACAGTAAATAAAGGCTCATCCGTGGCAAAGATGACCATCTCAGTGAATGTCTGAGTTAATGGTCATTGGGCCACCAAGATGTCCTACATCAGGGGTAGGCCACCTTTGGCACTCCAGATGTTGAGGACTACATCTCCCATAATGCTATTACAATGATAATACTTCTAAAGCATCAGGGGAGATGTAGTCCAACACATCTGACATGTCGAAGGTTGCCTGCCCCAGCCCTGTGTTAAAGATGTCTGTCACGTGAGTATGTTATTAAAAAAGCTTACAAAATTCAACCAATAGGTATTTGATGGAATATAGTGTATGTGTAGGAGTTTCATTGACATAATAATATTGTTTAACCCCTTAAGGACACATGACATGTGTGACATTTCAGGATTCCATTTTATTCCAGAAGTTTGGTCCTTAAGGGGTTAAAGGTTCTTTTCTGACTCATTCTGAATCAAGTGTTTTTCTCCTAATAGTATGTTGTGCTTCAAGGTCAGATGTGTTCTGTTGTGGAGTTTATCTTGCACTTCCTGTGACATTTAAAATGCAGTGGTAAATCACAATGAAATATGGAACACTGAATTAAAGTGTTTACGTCAACAGAGAGTGTTAAATGTATCACTTGTAAAAGAAAATGTTTATGTATTAATTAACACTATAGGGCTTATTCACTAAATTAAAAATAATCAGAGGATAAGAGAACGTTTCAGCTTATGGATCGACACAAAGCACAAGAAACAAATGTGTTTAATGCATTTGAAGGGCTTGTGGGATTGACAAGGAGTGAGGATATAAAATGGTTTGCGGTTGCAGTTACAAGTCCAAAAATTAAAGTCCAGCAGTGTTTTTTTTTCTTGTGCCTCTTTGGCGCCCCCACCCTTCTGTGTGCCTCCCCTCCCCCCAGTCCCCTCTTTGTGCCGGTGTGCCCCTCAGTCCCTCTGTGTGTCTTTGTGCTCCTCTCTGTGTCTCTTTGTCCTCCAGCCCTTCTGTGTGTGTCGGTTTGTCCTCTAGCCCATGCATGTGTCTCATTAACCCTCTAGCCCTTCCATGTATCTTATTAACCCCAAGCCCCACCATGTGTCTCATTCACCCCCTAGCCCCTCATTTACCCCTCTTCACAGCCTCACCATGTGTCCCATTCAGCCCCCTCAATAACCTCTCCATGTGTTCCATTCCCCCCCTGAGCCCTTCATGTGTTCCATCCCCTCTAGCCTCTTCATGTGTCCCATTTCTACCCCCCCTCCTTCTTCCCCAGCCTCTCCATGTGTCCCATTTCTACCCTCCTTCTTCCCCAGCCTCTCCATGTGTCCCATTTCCCCTGTCCCCAGCCTCTCCTGTACCTCTTGTGTAGCAGTAGAGGAGCTCATGTAATCTCTCCCCATTCTGACAGGAAGAAATCTGTGCTCTCTAAGAGAACTTCCAGTCAGACCGAGGAGAGGAACAGAAGCTCTTCTACCTCGGTCTGCCTGCTAGGGCCACTCTACTTTCAGTGACTGGCAAGAGGAGATCACTTCCAGCCCCAATGTATAGTGGGCCAGTCCGGCTCTGATGGCACCCTCCTTATGTGCGGCACCCGGGGTGGACCACCACTTAGTACACTACTGAACACTACTAGAATGTTAGAAAAACAAACATGCATCATACATTTTACCTGTTCCCACAGAAGGGAGTTCAGTGCAGCATCTCTAGTGGCTGTCTGAGTGTCAGCCACTAGAGGTGTTACTAGGCACCAATGTAAACACTGCCTATTCTCTGAAAAGGTAGCATTTTCATTGCACAGTCTCCAGGGTTAGGTTATAGATACCAGAACCACTACATCAAGCTGTAGTTTTTTTTAGTGACTATAATTGCCCTTTAAGTCTGAAGGAGCAGAGCTGGGAGCATAGCTGACTTAATTTTTTCTATTTCGTATATTTTAACCTTAAATCTGAAAATCACTTGGATTTCACACTAGTGTGTAAGTTTTAACTGTAACGAGAAGCTAGTTACAGTACAGTACTCTCATTTTTCTTATCTGGTAAATGTGAATAGAAAGTTATATTTAGATTAATGACCTTGATTTCCAGTGAATTCTAGAATGTGTGTGAGAGAATTATTATAAAGTATGGTATCTGCTACTTTCTATTTTGTGGGTTTTCCTGAATAGCGAGGCTTTCATTAACAGGTACCTAATAGTTTTTAACCTAAAACCACCTTTTGTAGGGACTGTGTTGATTCATGTACACCCTCAGTCAGAATTATTCAGTCGGCCAAACAGCATTTTCTGAGAGGAATTATACTCCATGTAGAGGTGTTTTTAACAATACTGCCCCTTTAAGGGTACACGTGTTCTGTGGAATTGAAAAAGCTGTTAGACAAGATTCTGCTTTTGGTCACATGCTGGAAATTAATACACATTTGAACATTTGACATTGCGTTAGCTCAATACCTTTGATACAAAGGGGCTGAGCCGCAGGAAACATGTATAATACATGTATTTTAGACCTTCATAATAATGTTTTACGGTGTATAGAAATTGGACAAGGGTACAATATCTTGCACATATATTCATGAGAAAAATACAACAGAACCCAAGGGCAAGCAGTGCAAAAATGTCCCTCATTTGGGTAGTTAAAGTATGATATGCTTGCATGCTGGAAGCTATGCAAGGACTGATGATGGTGTCGGTGGATTTTGTTTCACTTCATACATTTGTGAAAATCCATCCACGGTTTAAAGCAGCCCTGCCATGTTAATTTTTTTCTAATAGTTTTCCTTTCCTTAGGCCCCCGTATTTTAAAGGTACACTCCAGACACCTAAAGCACTTTAACCCCTTAAGGACCAAACTTCTGGAATAAAAGGGAATCATGACATGTCACACATGTCATGTGTCCTTAAGGGGTTAAACTGCTTTCTTTTTTTTCTTTTTATTAAAAGTGCAGATTTCAATAGGAATTGGAACTTTTTTATAAATTATCCTTGCTACACCCCACTGGTAGCCAATCAGACAATTGGTCCTGTTACCTTAGACCTGATTTGTTTAGCTCAATGGAGCTAAATTCAAGTGGCAGAAATTGCACAGAACACCTGTCTTGCAAATACTTCTCATTGAGCTGCATTGGGAAGTCTGTGATTGGACAGTCACAGAAAGCTGGGGGTCAGTTAGAAGGGGAGGGCTTGCAAAGGCTTCAGAAAAAGCCTTTTCTGCAGTTTTTGGAAGCTGTTTGTAGATATAACTGCAATAAAAAAAGCACAATTAAATACATGCATATTTGGGGTATATCCAGTAAACAATTATTTTATTTTATTTTTTAAATTAGGCAATATAGTGTCCATTTTAATGATTATTCTCCCCCTTGCCACGTACATTTGGTTATATTTACTATCATTTCTTGCTTGTGCCATGCTTGTGCCAATATCTCAATATTATTTTTTCCTGTGTGCTTGTTGCCTGCTATTTACCCTTCTGTGAGATTCATTTTACAGATGAATTGTGGGAAAATCTGATTGGCAACTGAAATAAAAAATTGCTTAGGCTTCACCCATTATCAATTTATGTCACATTGACTGTTATACAGTCTCTACCAGGGCCAGCACAAGGATTTTTGGCTACATAGTCGAAGATGCATTTTGCATGGCATGGATAATGACTCTGCCAGAGGTGGAGTTACACCAAGCACCATGACCACTTCAAATCAATGAATTAGTCCTGGTGCTTGGTGTAATGCTTTAATTCCAGCTTAATTTCTGCTCCAATAAGGCACAACCTTGGGTTGCACCAGCAAAGAGGGAGCAATTTCCAGGAGACAGGCAGGATGAGGTTTGCAGGGAATTCATCCCTTACTCCGGTCTGTCAGGTCCAGTGCCTTGCTTACCCCATCACCGCGAGTGGCGCCATCTGGTCCCTGCGCAGCTGTCCCCGCTGCCGTGCTCCAGACTGACAGTGTTTCTGATGCTGCAGTCTCCAGAGCAGCATCCTTATAGGTGTGCCAGACACGGTCATGTGACCCAGCACACAGTGATGACCTCAGAAACCACAAGGGAGGGAAGAAACACCTCCCATGTGTTGTGGTTAAAACTAATTGGAGGTTAGACAATTAGACACACCCTGTGTGTATATAAGCTAGCCTCCCCCTTGCCTCAGTGCCCTGTTGTGGTCTTTGTTTAGCCCAATAGCACGTTATACTCTCTCTGATTAATTGGTTACCGAACTTTGACTTGTCTTACGTTTACTCTGTTTTCTCTGCTCCCTGACCTTGGCTTGTCTCTTAATATTCCGTCTCTCTATTTCAATTTGACCTTGGCTTGCTTTGACTATTCTTTTGCATAGCCCGGCCATTCTAAGGACCGATATTGCAATTCTGTCAGTTGTGTCCTGTCTGTGAGTTCCCTACCAATCGCGACACTGTCACTCTGTATAGCGTGGCCTCGGGGCAGAGGCTGAGGATATTATTTATCCTCTATCTAGTCTGATGGGGAACTGCCCGCTAGATGGGTGTGGAATGAGCAGTGAGCAGGTTACTGTCATACAAGGTGAAGGAAAAAGAAGATCCTCTACCTGGGTCTGAGAGGGTCTGTGAGAGCGAGCCACAAAAGGGTTGAAGCAAGAAACCCAGGTGTTTAAAAGACACAAAGGGGACAGAGTAAGAGTCATGGAGAGTTGAGGTACTCATGGAGGAATTAGTGATAAAAAAGGGTTAAGAGACATAGTGGGGTAAGAGACAAGAGGGCCAAAAAGAGGATAAAATCACTAAAGAGTGTAAAACATTTAAAAGGGTGGATAAGACACCACAAGAGATATAGACACAAAAGCAGGATTAAGAAGGACAAAAGGAAGTTGCAATCTTCAAAAGGGGGGGACACAAGCAAAAAAGGCTACAATACACAAAAGGGCATAATATTGGGTAAGAGGGGCAAAAGAGGGGGTTAGCAGACATACAGGCCTACACAGGAGAAAAATCAGTTGGGGGGGGCACAATGTTTCTTTGCCTGTCTAGTCAAAAATCCTTGCACGGGCCCTGGTGCCCAGACACCACACATATCCCTCTGACATTATCGGGGGAAGACTGGAAATTTATCAAAATACCTTTAGTTTTAAAATAATCGTGGTTCTGTACTTACCTCTCAGCTTATTACCTGCCCATACATTAGGATATCTATTTAGCCAGTGCTTATTCTCATTTTTGTAGGATAGAGCTCTACCTCTAGTAACCTAATTAATTGATATTAATAAAGTTTTTGGTTGTCTTATAAGGCTACTAATAGATTGGACTGGTCTCTTTTCCTATTAATCACTTTCTATGGAAGTGATTATTGGGAATTATTTTCCTTGTTTTTGGATCTACCTTTGACCTCCTGTTCTAGGGCTTTCTTTGCACAGTCCTATGTTTTGCTTTGTTGTCACTATACACAAAACTTGGAGAAAAATAATGTTGGTTGCATTTGATGTATGTTTACTCATAATACAGAATGTTTTTCATGGAAATTTCCTTTCAACACTGTTAAGTGTTTAAATAAAATTAGTGTAAAAAGTTTCTGAAACTAATTTCACTGACATACTTTCCACTTTGCTTCCAATGGCTTACTTGGACCTCCAGCTGCTAGATTGTTGACTTACTCCCTAAGTGCCTATCAAACTGGGGGCCCTTCACTTTGGGTGGAGGGTAAGTGGTTACCACGTTTGTAACTAAAAATCTAGTTCCTCTATCAGGCTAGATCTGCATGACTTTCACCAGTTTGGCAGTCCCCCCTCCAAACATTGTGAAAGAAAATCCAGTTAAGCTCATTTAAACAACCTCCGTGTGCTTTGGGCTATTCTACCTGTTTAAAGGTTTTACCATTTTACCATTCTGTTGGCATCATGTTAAGTCCTGTCATTCCAAGGCCTGGTAATATGTACTTTCATAATTTCCTTATATTTTCATTGTTATCCTATAAATCAAGCTTTGCATGATGGTTGTTTTAGGACACCATGACAATGTAGGCCTTGCCCAAACAAGCTTATCAAAAGTGTGCAGGAACTGCACTATAGCTAATATTCTAAAATACTGGACAGTGTATTCAGTAGGCTATGTAGATTGGCAGAATCACAGTGCTGTGTACATTTATGCCATAAATTGGATTCGACATGCATACAATAGAGTCAGCATAGACAGTAGGAGTTAAGTAGATATTATACTGTTTTTATATACTGCTAATAAATAGATTTTGGTCACTTTTTACATTTATACCATTATCTTTTGACTATTACCTGGCCTTTTATATATATTTTATACTATATACATTTTTATATACTTTTTCCTTTTATTTATTTTACTTCCTGGTATTATACTCCAAAGAATCCCAGGTGGGGATTATACCACCTACACAGTGTATAGGGCAGTTAGCCTGCCCTATACACTGTGAGTATATTTTATTATTTTATACACCAACAATATTTTATTGAGAGCACTATCGCTGTTTTATCTTCTCTCCGAGCTCCTGATACTACCATCAAGAACACTCATCTTATATCCTACAAGCGGGGATTATACCGCTGTACGTCTACAAAACTAGAGCTAGTAGAAGCTCTACCGAATGTGAGTGTATCTATTATATTTTACATCTTTTATTTCACGTGTGGAACATACTGCACCATTATTGTTTCCATTTTTATCTCCCACTTGGCCGTCTGTCACCACATAGAAGAGGATACTCGCCGTATATCCTGTAAGCGGGGATAATACCGCTGCAAGCCATTCACACCAGAGCTGGATTAAGCTCTGTCAACTGTAAGTAAGACCTCTTCTATTTTTACTATTTTGGATCATCTTTCTCATCACTCACCACCTTCCTCCACATCTTTTGGATATCGTAACAAGTAGAACCCTACAACTTCGGAGACCACATAATAGATCCAATTGGACTTGTTATTGTTATTTATTTTGTTCATTGGCGCAGACCCATCCCCTATTTATTTGTTTTTGTTTATCTGTTCCTAAGGACATTTGAGGGAGTCCTTGCTTGGGTCTGCTGCCTCTCCGATTAGCGCTGACTCAACTCTCTGTTTTGTTAGATATGTGACAGGGTTTAGCAATTAATTAAAAATTATATTTACTTTGGGGTATAATTGTGGGAAATGTTGTAGGTTAAAATCAATCATTTAAGCTGAAATTTAAACAACAAAGGAAATCAGTGTAAGAATAGCCAAGGAGTTGAGGACTAGGACAAGAAATGGGTAAGCAATATGAGACTGGCAG